CCCGCCGCTCCCCGCTGCACCCGCCGCTCCCCGCTGCACCCGCCGCTCCCCGCTGCACCCGCCGCTCTCCGCTGCTCCCCGCTGCACCCGCCGCTCCCCGCTGCTCCCCGCCGCTCCCCGCTGCACCCGCCGCTCCCCGCTGCACCCGCCGCTCCCCGCTGCTCCCCCCCGCTCCCCGCTGCACCCGCCGCTCCCCGCCGCTCCCGGAGGCCTCCGTAGCCCACAGTGGCGGGATGCAGCAGCTCCCACCTGCTCCCGCCGGGCACATCCCACAGTTCTGGCTGCGCCTCCGCAGTGCGGGCAGCTGCGTCCTTTGGCCCGGGTGAGGTTCTCCCGGTGACCGGATAGTTCCTGGCCCCAACCGAGTTCGATCTCGCGCCTCCCCTGGTCCAGATGCGAGGAGAGACTACCGGCCTCTGCTCCACCGGGGCGCTCCACAGAGGGGGCCGCGGGGTTCCTGCGCCCTCCCCGCCCGGCGCGCACCCGGTGTGAGTGACTGCGGACCTCGCCGCCTGTCCCTCCAGTGCGCACCCCGCGCTGCTTCCTGCAGCGGATGCTGGGCCCAGGGTGGGGTGGGGGGTCACCTAAGACCGTGGGGTGTCGGGAGCGTGCCCGAGGGCGCATCGGTCCCTTCTGCCGCATGCTGCTTCTGGCTTGTGTCCCCCCAGCCACCGTGTGTCCCCACCACCGTGTCCCTCTCTGCCGCTGTGTCCCCCCACCGCGTCTCCACCACCGTGTCCCCCTCTGCCTCCTTGTCCCTTGTTCCTTCTGCCACCGTGTACCCCTGCCACCACAGTGTACTGCCGTGCCCTGAGAGGGAACGAGCCTCCCCTCAGAAAGCAAGGCTCTGGTTAGACCTGGGACAGTGGGGTTGGAGACCTGCGTTCTGCTGGCCTGACCAGGAGAGTGGTGTCATGGGGTAGGGTATCCTCCCACTGCTTTTGCGTCCCCACTTCACCCTCAGCTCTGACACCCCCAGGATCAAGGCTGACGGTGACCACCTGCCCACACACATCCTGAACAACCACGTGGACCTTGAGCCCTCCTGGAGGGTCCAGGTCACCCACAGCCCTGGAGCCACCATGTCTGTGTTCAGGACCTACTGCACACCTTGACCTCCAGTCGCTCCTCTCCTATCCCAGGAACACCCCCCCCCCGAAAACCGCTCCAGAAAACAGGCTGAGATTTCCATCCAAACCACAGAAAAGTAGACCTCGAAGTGGACCTCAAAGGTGGTAGTACTCTGCTTTCCAACGAAACAGTAGTTTATTGTGAGCTTCACATGAGTACCACAGATGTTGTACCATGAATGGACTGTCCACCGTGGAAAAGAACGTCGTAAGTCAGGGCATTTACCGAGCATGCTGGTAAATGCTCCAGGCAGGCAGGAGCTCTCCCTAAGACACAGATGTTACCTTTTTAGGGCTGCGGGACACTTCCACATTCTCAGAACTAACTGTATTAGTGCTAGGATGTCAAGTCAGACAGCTTAGGCTACTAAAGCGCTTAAGAGGACCCAGGATCATTGGGCTCCTGGTCTGCACAGTCGTCACCACCCTCCATGGGGGTTGGAGTCACCTAGAACAGGTAACAGGCACCATCTGCAGAAAACCACACAAACCTCTGCCCCCGGGCAGTGCTGCCTTTGTGGTTCACTTCTCTGACCTCATCCTGCGTGCTGCTCCCCCCTTTTCCTTCCGGGTTCCCTCCCCAGGGCTTTCCACCCCACTGCGCCTCTTCTCCCCAGCCCTCCTCAGGAGGCAGCCGTGCCCTTGGCAGCTGCAGCACCCTGGCATTCCGCCAGCACATCCACACAGGTGCAGCCAGGATGGGGCTTTCAGAGCTACTCAGTAAGAGGCAAAGTTGGGGCACTGATTTTTAAAAATATTTTATTTTTATTTTATATATATACGAGTGTATTGCCTGCATGTATGTGAGTGCACCCGTGTTGTGCAATGCCACGGAGATCAGAAGAGGGCTTTGGATTCCCCTGGAACTGGAGTTAAGGATGGTTCGTAGCCGCCATGTGGGTGCTGGGAATTGAACCCGGGTCCTCTGCAAGAACAGTCAGTGCTCTTAACCTCTGAGCCAACTCTCCAGCCCTGGGACACAGATTTAACTACAGGCATTGAGATAGAAGTGCCCTGGAGTTATCAGCTACACGTGGGCTGTGGGAGCTTTTGAAGTTACATGTAATCTGTAGCCTAGTTTAAAAGATTAAGTTTTTATAAGCATTTTATAGGCTGAGGATACAGCTCAGTGGTAGTCTAGCCTGGTGGTCCAGGCTCCAAAACAGACTTCTAAAAGTGTAGATGATGCTGGGCATGGTGGCATGCCCCCTTAATCCCAGCCCTCCGGAGGCAGAGGCAGGTAGATCTCTGCAAGATGGAGGCCACTCCGATTCACATCATGACTTTCATGTGGGCTGTGACTAGGGTGACCCTGTTAAAAAAAACAATCAACAAAATAAATAAATAATAAAAATATAGATGGTAAAATAGACATATCCTAAATTTGCCTTTCCAGGTGTGTGATTCAGTGGCATCAAGTACAACCACATTATGGTGCAGGCATAACCCAAATCCACCCCAGAGCACTGCCATCTTCCCAGACAGGTGTCACACAGGCAGTAACCTTCCCTCTACTCAGCCCTTGGCACCCACCGTCTTCTTTCTGCCACTATGGACTTGAGGACTATAGTCTTCCCTCAAATGAGGGAGTCATGGTATATCTGTCATTTAAAATGTGTGTGTGTTGGGGCTGGAGAGATGGCTCAGCAGTTAAGAACACTGGTTGTTCTTGCAGAAGACCCTGGTTTGAATCCCAGCACCCACATGGCAGCTAACAACTGTCCGTAACTCCAGTCCCAGGGGATCCGACAGCCTCCTCTGACCTCTGCGGGTATTGCACTGACACGGGTGCGCTTACCTACTTGCAGGCAATACATGCATACACATAAAATAAAAATAATAATTTTTTTAAAAAAAGAATATAAAATGTGTGAGGACAAAGGACAACTTTAGAGACCTGGTTTGCTCCTTCCACTGTGGGTTCTGGGGATCGAACCCAGGTCCTCAGACTTAAAGGACAAGCAGTTTTATCTGTCGAAGCATCTCGTCATCTCTTATTGTTCTGTTATACCAGGCTTATCTTAGTTAATGTAATATCTTCAATGTCCAGCTGGTGGTGGTGGTGAATGCTGAGGCCATCTCAGAGACAGAGCAGACTAAGATTGACCTGTTTGTTTCTAGGTCATTATCTGAGAAAGAATTAAGACACAGCAAGGAACTGGGAAGTTTTATCAGTAGTGTGCAAGTGCGCACTCCAGGGAGCGCGGCTTTTCAGGAGCAGCTACAGAGGCTTTACTATGAAATCTAGACGTGCAGCTTGAGGCTGCTGCCGTGAACATGTTACATCAGAAACACATGGGACCCGTTTGTCTTTCCATGTCAGACTTTACCAAATGATGACAAACTCACAAGCCGTCATCAATCTCATGGGCTGCAGTTTGCTGATGATCGTGATTCCCTTGCTGGTGTGGTTGGCCAGCGACAAACACAGGTTCTTTGATACTTTTAGTCCAATATTCCAGTCTTTATTTTGCAGGGCTGGTGTCCTGGTTTGTTCTTCATTGCTGCCGCAAAATACTCTGACCACTACCAACTTGGGGAGGAAAGGGTTTATTTGTCTTACATCTCCCAGGTTGTAGTTCATCAGGGAGCCCAAGGTAGGAACTCAGGGCAGGAACCTGGAGGCAGGAGCTGGAGCACAGGCCATGGAGGAACGCTGCTTACTGGCTTGCTCCCCTGGCCCCTGCTCAGCCTGCTTTCTTATCCAACACAGGCCCACCTGCCCAGGGGTGGCACCACCCACAGTGGGCTGGGCCCTCCCACATCACTCATCAAGAAGATTCCCCTCAGACATGGCCACAGGCCAGTCCAATAGAGGCAATTCCCCAATTGGGGCTCCCTCCACCCAGGCGTGTCAAGCTGACACTAAAGCTCTCTAGCACAGCTGGGAACTGAATTAGGGCATCATGCATGCTGGGCAAGTACTCTGCCTTTGAGTACAACCCGAGTCTTCTCATTCCAATCTATATTTTTTTCCTTTTTTTCCTTTTTTTTTTGTCAGATCATCTTTTATTGAAATAGTTTCTCTTGCTTAACTAGCTGGGCATTCCGCTGCACTGCTGTTGATGTCGTCTATGATGTCATGAGGGTGATGGCCATCCACATTGCAACCCATAGATTGTGCAGTACCCAGGATCTCTTTAATAGTTCCAGAAAGTTCTCTGGCTAAGGACCAGTGCCGCATCTGTCAGGCAATGGTGACATTCTCATCAAAACTGATATTTCCACTGTGCTTAATGTTTTTCTGCTTCTGTTTCTTGGTGGCTCCTTGAGGGCTTTGATGACCAGGGCAGAGGCAGAAGGTATGACCTCAGTCTGGGCCTGTCTGTTCTGAACAGTCAGTTTCACTGTAATCCTCAGACCTTTCCAATCCCCTGTGGCCTTGGCATTGTCATCACCAACTTTTTTTGGAGACAGATCCAGGGGCCTGATCTTGGGGGCCAAGGCGGACATGGCTCCGACTTCGCCTCTGGTGCACCTCAGATAGGCGACTTTGATCTTGTTGGGGTCGAAGTTGGGCAGCATGATGGAGGCAGCAAGTGTCAGATGAACCCGGATTTGGGGATGACCGAAGAAAGTTGCACCTAAGCCTCCTCCGAGCTGAAAGCCAAAAGGGCTTTTGTTCCAGTCTTAATTACTAAAATTAGCTATTAGGTCATACATTTTATATAAGTGTGTGTGTGTGTGTGTGTGTGTGTGTGTGTGTGTGTACGCACATGCTTGTGCCCAGGCAAGTTAATGAATGGCTAAGAGCATGTTAAAGAGGCTTCAGAATTCAGAGCATCTGTCCTAAAGTCAAAGTTACAGGTGTAGAAAAAGCCTGTAGGGGACAAGCCTTAGGAACGAGCTGTTCTGGCATAGAGATGTAAAGATTTCAGGTGCAGGTCCAGGTTACAGACCATTCCCAACACCAGTTAGAAGTGGGCTGAGTGTCATGGGCAGGAGAAACTCAAGCTGGAGCAGGGGGCAGAGGCGGGAGTTCATCACTGCTGCAGATTTCCTGAGGCTTGTGATGAGTGAACCAGGCGACTAGTCAGCATGCCAGCCACATCTCAGTCTTGGGGCATGCTCCCGCCTTCCTTACGGTCCCAGGTGACTGGTAAATTGCTACGTCTGGTGTTTCTGATGGGCCTGATAGAGTCACAGGGGTCTTTACTTATTGGCACAAACAACATACCAGTTTGACCTCCTGGTGAGCTGGCAGGTGGTGGCTGCTTACCTGGGTAAATAAGGTGTGGAATTGTTCTTTCTTGACGCTTAGACTCAAAATGGAGTAAC